CTGGAGATTGTGGACAGACTGTAAAATCCGGACTTTGGAGGTCATTGGGTGGAACCCGCCAGCTCCAGTGTTTCCTAGTGCCTGTGCTTCACACCGCCCACCCACTGTGAGCCCCCCACTTTGTGATCCCGGGGGTCTCTCAGGGCCAAGCCCCTGCTGACTCAAGAGCCATCTCTAAGAGGCCTCCCAGCTGTCCTGCCTCCCTCCTCTGACTAGATGCTCCTGGAGAAGGTGGGCTGTGCCTGTCCCATTAGACTGGGCCCTCCTGAGGGTGAGTCCATCTCTGCCACTTCCTCAGGCCTGTGGTTGCCAGAAATTCAAAGACCTGGGTGGTTAACCACGTCTGCCCGTGGACAAGCCACATCCTGGGGATCCCCCACCCCGCTCCCCTCCCTGCCCCTGAGATCTGGGGTCCATATGACTGGGTTCTTGATGAAGAAATGCAGGCTCTGCTGTGGAAACAGGCAGCCTCATCCTAGACCCGCAGACCTTTCCCAACACAGGCTCAGAAGGAGAGGAAGGGGCCCAGGGGCCACCTGCTGGGTAGCAACCACACAGAATCATCAGCCTTCTGCGTAGTGAGCTATGTCCAGCGCCTCAGATATGTGGACAACAGCCCAGTGAGCTGGCTATGTTTATGCCCATTTTATAGAGAGGAAACTGAGTCTCAAAGAGGGAAAGTCGCTTGATTAGCATCATTACCTGGTGAGTACCCACTCTCCCCCGGCACCTGCTGCCTGCCTCTCTGTCTGTCTCCCAGCTCAGCCGACTCTGACCTGAAACTGGCTGTTGACTCTTCATCCCCAGTATAGGGTGAGCATCTTGAGGGAAGGGAGGAAACAAGGGCTGGATTTGCTTTGCTTCGTTTTACATCTGAGGCCCCAGTGCCCAGCCCCAGGCCCAGAACACAGCAGGTTTGTGGGATACACCTGATGACATCTGTTCTCTTCCACGCTCCGGGAGGGAAGGCCCTGCCTCCCAAGTCAATCCAACCAGCGTTATTGAGCATCTGCCGTGTCCTGGGCACTTAATACACATCACACTTCATGTAGACCGGCTCGTAGACTCGACCCCCTGTCCTGTGACCTCTCAATGACTGTTTATGTCCCCATTTTACAGATAAGGAAACCAAGGCTCAGGGCCAGAGTTGGCACGTGAAGCCAGATCGACACGTCTTTCACCCCAAACTTGCCAAGTTGGCATTTCCCTAGGAGAGAGGGTAAGGTCCTCAGTGAGTCTTCCTGGGACCTGGCTGATTGGGGGTCCACGCCAGAGACAGAACACTGCTGTTGGAAGGGCGAGAGCTCCCTTTAGGGTCCTGGGAACCACGTGTGTGTGCACTTCCATGAAAGTTCTCGCGCAAGGATGTGTGGGCACGTTGCAGGTGAGGGAGGATCTGAGCAGGGCTGCATGGACATACATGAGTGCCCGGGTGAGTATGTGGGAATACACATGTGCCCATGCCTGCAGGTCCCAGGAAGGAATGGGGCAGGGGAGGGAGGTGCTAGCACGTGCTGATATTGTGTATCCAGGTGTGCATGCTATTACAGTCCTCAGAATATCCCCAGAAACTGGGGCTCAGGGAGGTGAAGAGACTTGCTCAAAATCATACAACCAGCGTGTTTGTCTGCATGTGTGTGCAGGTGTGTGTGTGTGTGTGGTGTCAGAGCAGTGAGAAGGCTAGGGTGGGGAGGGTTGGGGTGAGGAGGGAGCATCTCCAACCCTGTAATAGACCCTCCCTGTCTCGCCAGCCCAGAGGAGCGGACGGTAATCACTGTTTTGCACAGAGGATCCACCTCATGTCACAGCCTGAAATGTGCCTCTCGGACAGTCTGACAGAGACCCCCCGCCCCCGCCAGCCAGGGCCTGACCCCAGGCTGATCCCTGAGGTGTGTGTGCAGGGATGGGGTGGGGGCATCTCCGGGTCCTACCCTGCTTTCCTCATCTCCAAATGGGCTTGACCAGGCTCAGCAGGTGCAAGGCCCGGATGCTAAGTGGTCCTGCCAGTTAGCATCCATGCCTGCCTGCCTCTGCCCTCAGACTGTGAACCCCGCAAGGGAAGGGGCCAGCAATTCCTCCAGCAGATTGGGGGCTTTTCCAGGAATGGAGTGTGTGCCCTCCCTCGGAGCAGACGAATTCCCAGGGCAGAGGCCAGGACTTCCCCCATCAGGCTGGGACCTGCCCCAGCCCATCAGCAGTGAGGTACAAATCTCAGAGGAAGTACCACAGACATTTCCTCTTTCAGCCCTGACCCCCAAATCACTGTTATCTTTTCAAGTCCCCTCCCCCTAAGCCTGACAGGGGAGCCAGGGCAGGGGGACAAAACTGCTAAGCAGGCTGGGAGGCAGCCCTCCTGCCCCTCTCCCACCCTTGCAGCTGGTTCCCATGGACTTTGCCCACTCCTCCTTCCTCTTATCAAAAAGGCACCAAAACTAGCCACCGAAACTCCTGGCCTCCTAACCCCAGACCCCACCCTGCCTGTGCCCTCTTCCTCATCCTGGCACGGAATGCCCACGACTCTAATTCTGTTCTAAGGAAGACTGGGGACAGGGGGCAGGACTGGCACCACCAGACCAACATCCAAGACCCCTCCCAGTGCCCACCCCTCCTGGCACAGTCCCTCCGCCACTCTCCTTTCCCTTGAGGCGCATGCCTCTGTACCCTCCGGATGCCAAAGCAGGTGGGGTGGTATGAGGGTGGTGCCCAGGGACAGTGCTCATAAAGATATAGGAATCTGAACACAGGCAAGATCAAAGTCTGGGCGGAGGGTGAGACCCACTCAGAGGAAGTGACTTGTCCCTTATCTCGAGCAAATAGTGCTGAGCAAATGCGGGCCCTCGTTTTCCTGTCCTTCTCTGGGCTTGGTGACACCCTCAGCTGCGCGAAGCAGAGAGGGGACACCGAGGCCCCGGGGAGGGCTAGTCCGGCTCACGCAGCCAGGCCCGGTGGAGCGGGCCCTGTCCATGCCCTTGGCTCTCTGAGGACCTGCCTGCACCTCAGTTTCCCCACAGGAACAGTGGAGATACGACAGCGAGCCAGGTTTATTACACGAGATAAGAGACCGGGCAAAGCAGCCCGCGCGGCGCCGGGCACTCGGAAGGTGCTTAGGAAGCACAGTGGCCTCGGTCCAGTCTGAAGTCCTCGCCCAGAGGCTGAGCCTCGGAGCCTGAGCTCACTGCCCAACTTCTCGGTAGGGGGTGGCTGTGAGGGCTGAGGGGAGGTGGGGGGTGGGAGCTGGAGGGGTGGAGTGCAGAGGGTGTCTAGCTTCCCCCACGCAGACCTCCTCCCAGCTTCCTCCACTCCCAGTCTGTGTCCCCAGGTGTGAACCCCAAGGCACCCCCTCCCATTCGAGGGAAATCGAGCTTCCCCTTCCTTTCCTGCCACCAGCTTCCTGGTGATAGGGATTTGCTGGGAGTGACAGGGCTGCCCAGCCTGCTGACTCAGCGGAGCTGGGCTTGCTTAGCAACAGCTCAGGCCCTGGGCAAACAGAGCCGGGGGCAGCCACACCCCCACCACAGGAATGTGGCGGATTGGGGAGGGGGGTACAGTGGCACTGGGCCTGCGGCTGGGGGTGGGGCAGGTAGGCACCTTCCTCTGCCACCTTGGCACCATGGGGGAGGTGTTCTCAAACCAGGTCTCAGGACCCCACAGCCACCCAGGCCCTCAAAGCAGCCTGCTGGGGTCCGGCCCACAGCCAGGGCCTGGCATCCTGAGAGAGGGGGTGGGGGCAGAGTGACACCAGGAGCCTCTGAAATCATTACACACTGTCTGACCTTGGACAAGACCTCGCTGAGCCTCAGTTTCCTCATCTGTCAAGTGGGGAGGAAACAGTAGCAGCCTCTGGCGAAACTGGTGAGGATTCGACGGAAGGGCGCAGGGCACAAGCCTGCCTCACGGGAAGGTTCAGTGACGGGGACCCTCAGTTATGGAGCCCAGGTCCCTGTGACAGCATGAGGGAGTCAGCGGCCTCTGGGGCCCTGGAGGGAGACTGAGACTCAGAGAAGGATTTCTACCTCGCTGAGGCCACACAGCAAGACCACACCCCAGGGCCCACTGCCCGTCATTCTGCTTTTCCCATCCTTCCTGCCCTCCCACAGCGGGCATAGGAGACCCACGCTCCCTTCTCCTGCGCCAGTCTGGGTCTCAGGGCTCTGAGGATCCCCACATCCCACTCCAAACACTGCCCAGGGGCAGACCCGGCTGCAGGGAGCTGGGGGGGGGGACCCCTGCTCTTCCTCTGCTCTGAGCCCAGACGCCTGGTCCCCAGCATCCCACTCAGGGAGTCAGGGGAAGCTTCCCACGGAGCCCGCTCCTTTCTGTGCCTGCCTCCGCCAGCTGTGTCTCCTCTCCTCTGTCTACCTCTGTCCTTTCTCTGTCTCTGCAAGAGGCCACAGGACAGGGAGTCTTTTTTTTCACTCTCACCTGAGGACATTTTTGCATTTATCGTCAGATAGAGCAGGAGAAAGAGAGGGAGAGAAACATCGACATGAGAGAGACACATCAACTGGCCGCCACCCACATGACCCCAACCGGGGCCAGGGACAAACTGCAACCGAGGTACATGCCCTTAGCGGGAACCGAACCCGGGCCTCTCTGGTCTGCGGGCTGACGCTCTAACTGCTGAGCCAAACTGGCCAGGGCAGGACAGTGAGTCTTAAACACAGAGGAAAAAAGCCTTAACTGGGAGCTGGGTCACTTGGATTTGCAACTTGGTTCTACCTCTGACTTGCTGTGTGGCCGCGGCCAAGCCCCTCCCTTTCTCTGGCCTTCCATTTCCCAGCATCCCGTTGGTTGCCCCATGAGGACTGCGCAAGATCAGGAAGTTACAACACATAGTAGGGAGTTCCAGGTAAGTGCCCCAACCCCTTCCCCCTCCCCCCAGCCTCTCACTGTCTCCTTTAATCCCCCCAGATCTGCCTGCCTTTGATACTGCTGTCGGTGGCTGAGCCGGGCTCTGAGTGGGCTCCGAATAGGAAGCCGAGGACTCCCGGCCACGGGGACAGGCAGGAGCAGAGCCTGCCAGGCCTGCCCGCGGGAGGAGACGGTGGGCCCCTTACCATTCACCACTAAGCCCGGATCCAGACGCCTTTGTGCCAAGAACAAAACCCAGAGGATCAGCTGTTCTCAGACCTGCCTCTCTCAGCTCCGGAAGGGACGAGAGCCTGGGCCTGAGGGTAGACTGTGCCCTCTCCATGGGCCCTGGGATGCCAGGGTGACCCCACATCCTGGAAGCTCCCCACTACCCCAGGGTGTGGGGCTATGGTGGGTGAGCAAATCTGGGCTCAAATCCCACATCTTCCTCACCATGAGACTTGGGTAAGTGTGTTAACTGCTCTGAGCCTCAGTTTCATAATCTGTAAAGTGGACATTTATAATGGCCCGGCCTCATGGAGTATGAGGACTACATGAGATGATACATTCTGAGTTCGGCAGTGCCTGGGCCAAGCGGGTGTGCCAGGCCTCATGGTGTGCACCAGGCCTCGCGGTGTGCACGCGCACATGTGTGAGACAGGGGCACTCAGCAAGCCTGCCCAGGTGTTCTGGGAGAAGGTCATGATCACCACCTGCCTCCCATAATATCCTGCACAGTCCCCATGGCACGTGGCTCACTCCCAACCAAGGCCCTGGGCCTGGGGCTGCAGGGACCTACACTGTGTCCCTAGAGCTTAGGGGTGGAGGACCTCTGGCCCCTGGGGAAGGCTGGACCCCTGCTGACCAGGCCCCAAGGTGAGCTGACCCTGAGCCTGTCCCTTCTCATGTCCTCCTCCTGGCTGCAGTCCTCTGCTAGCCCAAGGCCCCAGGCCTCATGGTGGCTGGTGGCTCTCAGCCAAATGGCCAGAAGGCGTTGGCAGGGGCAGCCCTCTGGGGGGCAGGCCCTCAGGGGCCTGCTCAGGTGCTCTCTCCTGGGACCCTCAGGCCCAAGCCAGCATCAGGGGACAGGTTGGGTATCAGAGGTGGCTGAGCCCAGGCCCCAGGCAGCTATTACTTAAGTTCCCAGGCAGAGGGCCAGGAGGCCTGCGGTCACTCAGCCTGGGGCCTGGGCTCTGGCCAACCGTCAGCAGCAGAGATTATTGGGTCGGTTTTATTTTAAACAAAAAAGAACTTTGAGTGGAAACATGTGTCCCTTCTTTTCCCCCTCTCCAGCTCTCCCTCCCTTTCTCTCTCCATTTCGTTTTCAAATATTTTTCTTTTTTGGTGCCTCTCTTTCTCTGTTTGTTTTCCTCGGTCTTGCTCCATTTCTCTCTCTCTCTCTCGCTCTCTCTCTGTCTGCCTCTCTCCATCTCTCTCTTCTTTTAAAATATGTTTTTATTGATTTTCTAGAGAGAGAAGAAGAGAGAGAGAAATAGAAACATCAATAAGAGAGAAGGATCGACTGGCCGCCTCCTGCATGCCCCCCACTGGGGATCAAGCCCACAACCCCGGCATGTGTCCTGACCGGGAATCGAACCAGGACCTCTCCGTCCACGGGATGACACTCAGTCCACTAAGCCACACTGGCCTGGCTCTCTCCATCTCTTTGTCTCCAGCTTTCAGGGTTCAGGAGTGGTACCCTACTCCTCCCTTGGGCGTGGCCCAGGCCCCTGGCATCCACCCTCCTTGCAAATGAGATCCCCAGGGGGTGTCATGGCCCAGGCAGGAGTTCTGCCCAGGGAGGGCCAACAGTCCCCTCCAGGTCCCAGGGTGTCAGAACAGCTAAGGCTCCAGCACCCAACTCCTCCACCCTCCTATCCTCCTTCCAGCCCCGGCTTCCCTGGGTCCGCCGTCTTGTGTTTCCTTCTATACCAAGCATCTGCAGCTTAAAACACGTTTCCAACCACTGATCTGGTCCAAACTACTCATTTTGCAGCCAGAGAGACTGGTGTCAAGAGGGACCGCAACTTGCCCAAGAGCACACAGAGGGCTCGGGGAAAGCTGGGCAGGCCCAGGCCCCCACTTGCAGGCAGCACCGCGTACGCCTCAGGAAGGGGAGTGTCCCTGCCCGACTCACAGTCACGCTGCTTCTCAGGCCCTGGGTCTTCCAGAAGGGTGGTCTGCTTCTTGGGGAGTGAGAGACCTTCCCTGAAGTGGTCACCAGCGTGAGAGACGCCCCCAGGAAATCACAGGCCTTGGCTGGTCACCATTCTCCCAGGACAGTCATGCTGTTGGGCCCCTGCCTTCCAGCCCCTTCTGATGCTCACCAGGTAGCAAAGAAGAGACACTGGCCATCCAGGTGTCAGCCCAGCCTCTGAGTCCGTGTGTGACTGCACGTGAGCTTTCCCTTGCTGACCTGTTTCCCCTCCTTTCAAGCAGAAGGCTTATCTTTGCCACCAGGCACCCTTTTCCCTAATATTTTATTGTGTTCTCGTCTCTAGAACCCCTGGCCAGGAATGTAGTCTTCCCTCCCACCATGAGAATGACCCTTCTCACCATAACCAGCTCCCCTTAATTTCCAGGATCACTGTCCCCTCGGTACACGTGCCTTAGATGCCACAGCCAAGAAGAGAGATGCAGAGAAGGGACATCACCATGATCTGGTATCTCATTGTCAAAGGTGTGTCCCTGCCCAGGTCCTGTCAGCACTCAGGCAGGGACAGGAGGGGTAGGGCAGGGACTCCAGGGGGTCCCTGCTTGGGTGGCAGAGGGGAATCTCTCCCCTCCCCTGTGGTGTCAGGAGTCGAACCAGGTAAATGAGAGGGATTTGCCAGGTGGGGCAGGTGAGCCTGTCTTTCCAGGTTTGAGCAACTGTCATCACCACCGAGCTGCGCTGCTCCCCCCCTTCCCCATCCCCCAGCTGGGCTTCTGGAGGTGGCCCAAAGGGAAGGGCAGGGGGCTGCATAGTCACCTCCACTAGGCAACCCAAGAATCACTGGGCCAGGGCTCAGGAAGGAAAGAGGCCGCCCAGGAGCCCTGGGATGGGAGGGGGATGAGTGGCCAGTTCCCACAGCTGCTGTTCTTTGTGCCCTCCAGGACCCCACAACACGCCCCAGCCAGGGGCTCGAGGGCCTGACCTTTCGCCAGTCTTACTGCTCTCCTCACGTCTGGGTAGGAGCCTGGGAAGGGTTCGTTTTATCCTCACCACAGCTCTGCAGGTAGGACCCATTAGCCCCTACTTCACAGATGGGGAAAATGAGGCCCGGACAGGGGAAGGGGCTTGCTTGAGTGACACAGACCCCATGATGGGCTGGCTCCGGGAAAGCAGGTTGTTACATTTTCATGAATTTGGGGAGCCGGGTTTCATTGGCACCTTGAAATCAACTGTGAGCGGAAGTATTTACACCACAGCAATCGGCAAATGATACAAATCTGGGTTGTTGGTTTTTTTTGTTTTTTGTTTTTCAGAGAGCAAGTTGTTAAACATTTACCAGCTTACCACTGGCTGGAGGCCACAGCTTTTATAGTATCTCATAAAGGTCCCCAGTTTAGAAAGTTTAAGAGCTTAGCAAGACTGCTCCCTTGTCTCAAGACCTGTGACAGATCTGAGCCTGTCTGACTCCAAAGCCAAAGAAATTCCTCCCTTCCCTCCTGACGCCAAGGGTTAGCCTCTCGTTCTACTCCACCATGAAAACTTCCTGTCCAGGGCAAAAAACTGTCCTGGCTGTCCCTTTGGGCAGGGATCTTTAAAGGTATACAGGGTGCAGAGTGCAGGGCCAGCATACCCTGCCCGCGGACACTGTGCGCTCAATCCCATCAATATTTACCAAGCACCTCGCTTAACCTCCCTGCGCCTGTTTCTTCAGCCGCAAAATGAGGTTCTTCAACCTGACAGCATTCATCCATCCTGTCTATTCATTCAGTGAGTGACTCCCATGGGCCAGCCGGTCCCTGCTCTGCGTCCTGGCTTGCCACTGGCTTCCTGTGTTACCTTGGCCTTGGCCTTCCCATCTGTCCATTGGCATCATCTGCAAGGGTTGCTTGCAACTTCTCTCCACAGGGGAGACTGTTGGTCGTCAAGGTAACGAGCCTTCCTGGGGCCACAAAGGATCAACAGTGGATCACACTCTGAACACGAAACACACCCGTGTGATTCATGCCAGCAGGGTCCCTGTTTCTGTTTACTTGACTGCAGAGTTCAGAGAGCAAGGAGGTGTGGGACACTCAGGCCAGACTTCCTGATGGGGTAACCAGACACCATCAGCTAATATTTAATGAGCACTGACTATGTGCCGGGGCCTGTGCTAAGCTTTATATCATTTAATCATTTAATCTTTACAACACATTCACAAGGTTAGATACCCATTCCTTTTGGTGGGAAGCTAAAGCCCTAAGCAGGAAGTGACTTGACCAAGGTAACTCATTCATGTAAAAAAAAAAAAAAGTTTATCGCCAGGGAGTTACTGTCTCACGGGGAAAGAATTTTGGTTTGGAATGATGACAAGTTCTGCAGAGAGTGGAGAGAGCAGCATGACAGTGGACTTAATGCCATTGAGCTGAATACTTCAAAGTGGTTAAATGAGCGCGGACCGTGTGGTTCAGCGGATTGAACATCGTCCCATGGACTGAGAGGTCCCGGTTCGATTCCCGGTCAGGGCACATGCCCGGTTGTGGGCTCGATCTCCAGGAGGGGGCGTGCAGGAGGCAGCCGATGGATGTTTCTCTCCCACATTGATGTTTCTATCTCTCCATTCCTCTCTCTCTAAAAAGTCCATAAAAACATATATTTTAAAAATTTAAATGGTTAAATGGTCAATTAAAAAAATTCTTTTTTTATCCTCATCCAAGGACATTTTTTCATTTATCTTCAGACACAGTGGGAAGAGGAGAGAGAGAGACACACACTGATGCGAGAGAGACGCACCAATTGGATGCCTCCCACATGACCCCAACTGAGGCTGGGACCCAACCCCAACCGAGGTATGTGCCCTTGACTGAAATCGAATTCGCGACTCTTTGGACTGCGGGCCAACACTCCAGCCGCTGAGCCAAAGCAGCGAAGGCTAAATGGTCAATTTTACATATAGTTTATCATAACAAAAAATGTAATTTAACTATGTTCCAGGCACCGTGCGGGATGCGGGGGCCGCAGTGGATAAAGCAGACAGTACCCCTCCCTCCGTGGAGCTGACGCTCTAGAACAGTGTTGACCAAGAGAACTTTCTGGGGGGGAGTGACGGATGGATGTTCCCGACCCGCTCTGTGCCTTACGGTGGCCATCAGCCACCGAGAACCTGAAATGTGGCCAGTGTCACGAACGAATGGACTCCACTTTTATTTCACTTTCATTACGTTACATTTATTTATTTATTTATTTATTTTAATCCTCATCCGAGGACATTTTTCCATTTTTTGTACAGACAGAGTGGGAGGGAGAGAGAGGAAGAGGGAGAGAGGGAAACATCGATGTGAAAGGGACACATCGAGTGGCTGCCACCCGCACGACCAACCAGGGCCGGGGACAAACTGCAACCAAGGTACATGCCCTTAGCGGGGACCGAACCCGGGTCTCTCCGGACCGCAGGCGGATGCTCTAACCGCTGAGCCAAACCGGCCAGGGCACGTTACATTTAAAGGAACACAGGTGCTCGTGCCCACTGGACTGGGCAGCGCGGCCCTGGGCCAGCCCCGCGACAGGGCAGTGGTGGGCCGGGCGAGAGCCCAAGGCTGTCCGACCTCGCTTTGCTATACTCCAGCTTCCGCCAGGACTCTGTCTCCGCCAGGGTCCCCGATGATTCTGATAGACAAGAGGTCAAGTTTGAGACTCCTCGCCCTTCTGGTTCAAGACTGCCAGCCGGGAAGAGCTTGCGTTAGGTCTGAGCCATGCCGGGCCTCCTGGGCCTGGGCTAGCCATGCTGAAGGGAGTGTGCCCTCTCCAGGTCCCCACCCCAGCCCCCACGAGGCCCGGCTGCCAGCCTGGGGTTCCTTCCCATGGCCCCCCGAAGAGCAAACAGAGAAGGACTTGCCTTGCTCTTGGCAGAAGGGCTGGGAGGGCTCCTGGGCCCCCTATCTCATCTCCCGCCGTCCTCTGGGGCGCCCCAGTCTGTCACCTCAAGGCTCTGGCCCTAGCTGGTGGGCAGCAGGAGGGAGAGGCTTGGCCTGGCACCCCACCCTGCAGACCAGCTTGGTCAAGCAAGGGGAGGAAGGAAGCAAAGGCTGGCCAGAGGCCCAGTGGGGACGGGGTGGGAGTGACGAAGGCCTCAGGAATTTGAAAACAAACATTTAGCCTGCGAAGGAAGAGGCTGCTGTCCATGGCTGAGCCAGATGGGCCCAGTTCCCCCCTCCCGGGACAGGCAGGAGTGAATCCCAGCCCTCCCTGAGAGCTGGGCCCCAGAGCTGGGGGAGTCTCCTCCCCACCAAGGGGCTGGCAAGGCCTTTGGGGCTGTGGGGCCCCCTGGATGGCATGAGGAGAGGACGGGCAGAGAGCAGGGAGCTTCAGGAGTAGCCAGAGTCCTCGTCAATCATTTACTGAGCACCACAGGATACCAAGAATTCAGAGACAAAAGCACTTCCCAGCTGGTAAGGGAAGCCGGCACCAGGCACTGAAGACCAAGGGCCCTCTGCATAGGAAGTCAGAGAAGGCTTCCTGGAGGAGGTGGCACATGAGCTGAGCCCTAAAGGACAAATTCTGCCAAGGCAGGACAGTATCTTATTAATCTCCCCCCTCCCACTCCCAGAGCCAACACTCAGTGAGCAGATGAGTGAGCAAGTAACGAGCAGACACACGAATGAATGAATGAATGAGCGACTGAAAAATGTGAAGTCTCCTGTCTCAGGTCCAGACTTCAAAGTCCATCTTCTCACGCCACAGCTATGAACACTCCTCACAGCCCTGGGGCTATGCACCCATTTGGTTCCCAGAGACTCTGAAGCCAGTCTGCATGGGTTCAAGTACCGACTCAGTCACCAGCTGTGTGACTTTGGGCTCATTCCTTAACTTCTCTGTGCATTGGGGACGGGGAGTCCATTCTCTGTAAAATGGAAGTAATAATACTGCCCATTCATAATGTCTTTGGGCAGACCAAGTGAGTTCTATAAGTAAAGTGCTTAGGACAGTGGCAGGCATGTAGTGAGAGCTACGTAAGTGTTCTTATTCCTTAGGTACTTGCTTGTCCATTAGTCACTCACTCACTCAATCACTTATTCATTCACTGATTCACTCCCTTGCTCAATCCACCATTCACACACTTCTCCCTCTTCGCCAGTTATGTGTTGAGCAATCCTTGTGCCCAGGCCCTGTCTTCCATGCCTTCTGAGCCCTCTGCCAGTCCTGGGTGGCCCCTCCCTGCTGCTAATTGCCATAACGACTTTATTAATTCCTCCTAAGCCCAAAACAAACAAGAAGAAGCTGAGGCAGGGGTGACGTATAAGGACCAGGGTGCGGGCACAAATCCTCCAGCATGGGCTCCTTGGCCAAGGGCCATTACCCAGAGCTGTCCCAGAGAGAGCCAGGCCCCCTAATCTGGGCAGCCTTGCCCACTGCCCTCTTTGACAGGCTGAATTCTTCCAAGTCCCAACCCCGGCCAGGCAGTGGCCTCTGCTGTGCCCACTCCCTACCCACACCACAGGCTCCGTTAAGCCAGGAGCCCCAGACCCGGTACCCAAGGCAGCTCTGCCTGAGCCGGGAGCCCAGAGCTGGCTGAGGTGAGAACTCTGCAGCTCGATCCCATTTCACAAGCACAGTTAGAGCTGCGTGTTGAGCATAACGATCGCACGCTGATTAATGTTAGATGGGCGAGCAGAAGGTTCCACAACTTCCTTCTTCCCCACAGGTCCCGGGAGAACAGGTCGTGCAGGAGAAGAGTCTGTAAAACCATTTCCTGAACACCTCCTGCATGCCGGGCACCCTGCTGGGCACTTTCTATCCTCTTAACAGCATGGCATAGTGGGGGTGATAACCTGAATCACATCAATGGAAAAACTGAGGCTCAGAGAGGTCAAGAAACTTATCCAAAGCCACACAGCCAGTAAGTGTGGTCCTGGAATTAACACCCAGGTCTTCTAACACCCCAACTTACCCCTAGGGACAATCCAGGTTGGCATCTGGGGAATTGGAGAGAGGCTGGGTTTGGGCACGAGGTGATGTTTGGGCCAGAGGGTGGGGCAAGAGAGAAGAAGAGCTAGAGAGGCAGAGCCAGGTACCT